GGGGTTTCACCATGTTGACCAGGATGGTCTCGATCTCTTGACCTCGTGATCCACCCGCCTCGGCCTCCCAAAGTGCTGGGATTACAGGCTTGAGCCACCGCGCCCGGCCTGTTTTTGGTTATTTTTAACATAAATGGATGAACTTTGTCTAACGTCTTCTGCGTCCATGAAGATTATATGATTTTGTCACATTAACATGTTAATATTAGGATCATATCAGTAGATTTCCTTGTATGGAACCTCCCTCATACTTGGAATAAACTGTGCTTGTTCATTTGTATTCTTTTTTTTGTAATGTGCTGTTGGATTCTGTTTGCTAATATTCAGAGATTTAGGGTTGATATTCATAAGTAATATTCATCTGTAGTATCTTTTGTGCAGGCTTTGTCAGGTTTGGCATTAATCAGTACATTTGCTTCATAAAATCATTGTGTAAGTTTTTTTTTTTTTTTCCTTTACTGTGTTCTGAAATAGCATTAGGACTACCTTATCTTTTTTAATTATTTTTTTAAAGACAGAGTCTCACTCTGTTGCCCAGGCAGGAGTACAGTGACACGATCTCGGCCCACTCTAACCTCTCCCTCCCAGGTTCAGGTGATTTTCCTGCCTCAGCCTCCCAAGTAGCTGGAACTACAGGCAAGTGCCACCACGCCTAGCTAATTTTTGTATTCTTAGCAGAGATGGGGTTTTGCCATGTTGGCCAGGCTGTTTGTTCTTGAACTCCTGACCTCAGGTGATCTATCCACCTTGACCTCCCGAAGTTCTAGGATTATGGGTGTGAGCCATTTTTACAGTCAAAGATAGGGACTACCTTGTCTTTAAATGGTAGGATTTTCCTGTGAAACTATTTGCCTGGTGTTTTTTTTGGTTTTCCTTAGACTGGTTTCTGTCACCACTCTTGTCCCCCTCCAGGTTGTTCTCTGCAACTACCGCCATGACTACTATTTCCTTAAGGACTTATCCATTGAGCACCTCTACACATGGCAAGTAATGACTGTTATGTGTTTTGTTGTTTTGATACAACGTCTCTCTGTTGTCCAGGCTGGAGTGCAATGGCACCGTCTGTGCTCACTTTAAGCCAACCTCCACCTCCTGGGTTCAAGCGATTCTCCAGCTTCAGCCTCCCGAGTAGCTGGGATTATAGGTGCCCACCACCACACTTGGTTAATTTTTGTGTTTTTAGTAGAGATGGGGTTTCACCATGTTGGCCAGGCTGGTCTCTGACTCCTGACCTCAAGTGATCTACCCACCTCTACCTCCCAAAGTGCTATTTTTCTCTCTCTCCTTTTTTTTTTCTTTGAGACGGGGTCTCTGTCACCCAGGCTTGAGTGCAGTGATGCAACCACGGCTACATGTGTTTATTCTTAAACAATATAGTACTTAATATTTCCTTGTTTTGAATTTCATGTAAGTGAAATCATACTGTATGTATTCTTCAACTAGCTGTTTTCATTTATCATGTTTTTGAGCGTAGTAATTTGCTTTTACTGCTTTGTATATTATTGTATAAATATATGATAATTTATCCATTCTAGTATTAATGAAGATTTGGGTTGTTTGTTGTTATTACAGTGTTCTGCAAGTAATGTTGTACGTTTCTCCTGATACGCAATAGTTTCACAGATCTTTAGAGAGATCCCCAGTAGTAGAATTGCTGAATGGTAGGGGCAGATGCACATTCTCTGGGTAATACCATGTTGTTTTCCTAAGTCGTTTCCCAGTAAAGTTTTAGGTATTATTCTTGCACATCACGCGATAAATTGATTCCTTGATACTTTATGTTTGTTGTTGCTGTTCTAAGTGATATCCGTAGATGGTTTATAGAAATGCATTTAACTCTTGTAAATTGACGAATGGCTGGAATAAGAGATATCCAGCAACATGTTTTAAAGTTTTTTTAGGACAAACATGTCATCTGAAAATCATGAGAATTTTTTTTTTTTTTCTAACTTACGTATATTTTGTCTTGCTGTCTGCGCTGGAAACAGAGTCTTCCTTAGACTGGTCTCAAACTCCTGGGCTCAAGTGATCATCCCACGTCAGCCTCCAGAATAGCTGGGATTACAGGCACGTGCCACAGCACCTGACTGCATAAAGCTTTTTTTGTCAACTTTTTTGAACTTAAAAAAAAAAAAATCCTGAATGTTTGAATTTCCCCAGATACTTTTTAATTGCATCTATAGAAATTTTCTTATTTTTCTTCTTTAATCTAAGTTTCTTATTATCCTAATAGATTTTCTAATATTGAACCAATTGTGCATTCCTGGGATTAAACCCAACTTGTTACCTCTCCACTTTCTCCACATGAACCCATGGAATCCAGCATATATGGATCCATGGAAATCAGACCATCAGTGAGTAAACAGAGGCAGTGATTGGGAGCTGCAGAGACTAGCTGGGCTCTCAAGTCTCTTTCTTATCTCTTTTAATCTTATTTTGAAATATCCATTTAAACGTATGTAAGATGTAAGTACTGTTTATGGCCAGGCACGCTGGCGCATGCCTGTAATCCCAGCACTTCGGAAGGCCAAGGTGGGCAGATCACTTGAGGTCAGGAGTTCAAGACCACCCTGGCCAGCATCGTGAAATCTTGTCTGTACTAAAAATACTAAACTTAGCTGGGCATGGTGGTGCACGCCTGGTCATGGTGGAGTATCATTCTTACATATTGCTGGATTTGGTTTGCTAATAAATAATACGGTTTTTCTGGTTTGGTATGAAAATTAGACTATCCTTACGAAATGAATTAGGAGGTGTTTCTTTTCCTATCTTCTCTTTTTATTTCTGTAAAATTAGAACGATCCCTTAAAAGTTTGGTAGAACTTGCCTGTGCAAGTCTGGACCCGGGTGGTTTTTTGGTTTTCGTATGTGTTTGGTTTTTTTGTTAAGAACATGTTAAGCTGGTTCAAAATTCTTTTTAAAATTGTTATATGACTACATGTACCTTAGAAATGCCTTCTCAAATCTCCTTCAAGAGTTGAGTACGGGCCGGGC